ACCCTGGCAACCTTACTTCAAAATGCATACCTGCTCCCATTGATCCTTGTTATCACAGTGCCATCTTGACAACATGTAGTTATAAATTCGTGCATATGCCTCCCCCAATCGACAAATGCAGAACCCCTGACATCCATCAGAGCTAAAATCTCAGGATTAAGTACAAAATAGAGCACAAAGTAGGTGCTCATTTGCTGACTGAATAAGTGGTGGCTGAACATATGAAGAGAATTTTTCCCGAGCTGGTGAGGCACAGCTAAATTCCTGTTCTGCGTGGAAACAGAGCCCCGCTAGTGCGATGTTGATCATCACTGAAGGCCTCTAATGGAACCCCTGAGACTAGAAAGACAGACTGGCAGATGTTCTGTGACACCCTTTCCTTTGTCTGTGACATACTTGGCACATTGTAATTTCACACTCTAAGAAAAGAGGAAGGAAAACCTCAATAATTCAAACAGTCAACAGAAATCAAAGGCAATCACTGTAAAAGAGTCAAGTATATGCTACAATTCAGCGCATGAGAAACAAGACCAGTCTCATCAGGGTGGTAAGCAATCATTGTTAAGTGAACAATCCTAAGTTAACTCCCCAGCCTAAACCATCCCCTCCTCTGTCTGAATGGAATATCTAACTATAAGGAGTTTTTAAAATATTAGAAAATACATAGCATTCTTAAGCACTGGATTGAGGAACATCTTTCTGAATAATATACATAACTAGAAATAATTTCAAAACACTGATTTGAGCATCTCTTTTAAAAACATAAAAGTCTATTTGACAAAAGAGCATCAATTTAACACTAAAACCTAGTATCAAGTCACATAGCACACAAAAGAAAATCACACATTACACACATGGACACACACACACACACACATCCACGCATGTCTATATCAATGCAAAGGTCTTACAAGTGACACAGTATGGTTTGCTCTGAATATGAAGATTGCACATAAACTGCAAGTCACTTTTCTTCTTCTCCAGTTAAGGGTTAAAGATAAGGGCAGACAGTATTAGTCTACCCTTTTGGTCACACAGGACAAGCCCCACTTCACACACAAACAGGGCTCCAGTAAGAGTCAATCATTTCCCTCCATTCGTCATCATGGTTGAAATGATCACTGTGGTCTGAAGCCTGGCACTATCTTACTGCAGCAGACACAATCTACTGCTATGCAGGATGAACGCTGCCTCGATCACACTGCACAGGCATCGCAATGGCAGACTTAATGACTATATCT